TTTTATGATACTCTGAATAATAAGTGCTGTGTTCAGAGAATGGGAGCTATCAGCCTTCCAGCCTGTCAGTCATTGCCACTTCTCCAGTGAGCTCAGGGCAACATACGTAGTTCTTCTTTCTCCCCTTACAGCAACCCATGAGGGAGGGCGGCGTGACTAAAAGGAGAGTGACCTGCCTAAAGGGAGCTCTGTGGCAAAGGAGGGATTTGAACTCCAATCTTCGCACTCCTTGTTTGTTTCTCTAACCACAAAATCATACTAAACCACCACAGATTTTTTTTTGCAGTGAATTCCTAGCTTGGCCTTAGTGGATTTGCAACAAAGTACTGGAAGGCGAAAACCTTACACACTGCACAAGGCATTCCCACACCTGTGCCGAAGGGGCCTCCTAAGTCAACAAAGGCCAGGGCATACCCCCTGCTCAATGCAGGATCAGCCCTAGAGCATCCCTGACAAGGGTTTGTCCAGCCGCTGCTTGAATACAGACAGTGAGGGGGAGCCCACCACCTCCCGAGCAGCGTTCCCTCTAAGCTGAGTTAGTGTGAGATAGCTCACAGTTTCTTAACCTCTGGCTCACACATTTTTGCCTTAGCTCAGGAAGGATGGCTCCAGAGGAAACTAATTTATGCAGTAGCCAAACTGCTCACTCAGAACTTTAATGCCAGTAGCTCACAAAGTAGAATTTTTGCTCACAAGACTCCACAGCTTAGAGGGAGCATTGCTCCCGAGGCAGCTGATTCCACTGCTGCACAACTCTGACTGTAAAGACGTTTTTCCTAAGTTCCAAGTCCTGGGATGGGAAACTCTGTCTGGAAGAGGGCCCTGCCTTGCTGCCCACTCTGTCCCTGTCATAAGAACAGAAGAGAAGCCATGTTGGATCAGGCCCATCCAGTCCAACACTCAGTGTCACACAGCGGCCAAAACCCAGGTGCCTTCAGGAGGTCCACCAGTGGGGCCAGAACTCCAGAAGCCCTCCCAATGTTGCCCCCCCAAGCACTGCGAATACAGAGCATCACTGCCCCAGACAGAGCGTTCCATCTATACTTTCTGGCTAATAGCCACTGATGGACCTCTGCTCCATAAGTTTATCCAATCCCCTCTTGAAGCTGTCTGTGCTTGTAGCCGCCACCACTTCCTGTGGCAGTGAATTCCACGCGTTAATGACTCTTTGGGTGCAGAAGTACTGTGTAGAGGAAGGCAATGGCAAACTACCCGTGAACGTCTCTTGCCTTGAAAACCCCATGGGGGTGGCACCACAAGTCGCTTGGGACACGACAGCACTTAGTTTATTATTATGTAACTTGGTGCCGATTGCTCTGAGAGCAGTGCTCTCTGTTGCCTAAAATCTTGGGAGCTGGTTTAGGGTGGAGACTAATATGGGAAATCCTCAGTTCAAATCTCACCCACCCTTAAACTTACAGAGCCTCAGCTATTTCTAGGACATACTCCAGAAATTTTGTTAAACACTAGCGCATACTCCAGAAATTTTAAGTGTTAAACTCTCTTAACTGGCCACTATCGGAATGGAGATTTAAACTGATCACTGTTGTTGTACTTTCAAATTATCACTGCTGACACAGGAAGCTTCAAGGAACAAAGCATTAAGAACAGAAGAGAAGCCAATGTTGGATCAGGCCAGTGGCCCATCCAGTCCAACACTCTGTGTCACACAGTGGCCGAAAGCCAGGTGCCATCAGGAGGTAAGCTTGCCAGACCCCCCGGTTTGGCAGGGTCACCCACTTTTTTGGGGGGGTTTCTACCCACTGCCAGCCAGATGGCCAGTGGGGGAAGCCCTGCCTCCGAGCCCCAACACCAGCAGCCACCACTTTCTGGAGAGAGAGAGAAGGGAGGGGGCGGCTGTGGGCCACGTGCCCAATCTCCACTTGGAGATCGGGTGGGCAGGGGCCTCTGGCTGTGTGCACTTAAAGAGAGCCCCTTTAAGTGCAGGCAGCTGTCAGGAAAGGGCCCTGTGCGCCCAATCTCCAAGCGGCATTGCCACTCGGAGATCGGGCGGACGGGGCCCTCCGGTTGCAGCTGGCAGCCAGCGGAACCGTCCCTGTGGGGGCGGGGCTTGGAGCCCTGACGTCCCAAATGTGACATCATCACATTGGGGACACCCCTCCCCCTTCGGGAACACCCCCCAAAGTCCCCCGCTGGGGACGAAGATGGACCTGGCAGTCCTATCAGGAAGTTCACCAGCAAAGCGAGAACTCCAGAAGCCCCAAAAGAGGGAGGGAGAGGCATCCAGCAAGCTACTTCCCCCCCCCCAAAAAGCCCTGTGTAGGCCTCAGGCAGGCCAGGTGCCATGGGCCCCAGAGAAGCTGGGCGCTGCCTCCCCTGGACTATGCAGGCAGGTTGGGCATGTCTCCCCCAGCCTGAATGAGCCTTGGGTGGGCTGTGTGCACCTCCCCAGGGCTGCATGCGCCTTGGGAAGACAGGGTGCCACCTCCTACAGGCCATGCAGGCCCTGGGCAGGGAGTAGGGCTCCCAAATCCCCCCGGGGGGCGGAATTCCCCCTGGGGGGCGGAATTCCCCCCGGTTTCGAGCCCCAATTCCCGCTCCCGCAGAATCGGGGCCCGGGGGAAACCCCACCCCCGCGTGTGCGTCACCCGGAAGTGACGTCGCACGCTGGGGGCGGGGCGACGCCATTCGAGTAAGATTTTTCTATTTGGCAACCCTAGCAGGGAGGCCGGCACTTCTACTGGGCCTATGGTTGCCAGCCTCCAGGTGGCACCTGGAGATCTCCCGCGATTACAGTTGGGTGCCAGACGACCAAGAACGGTCCCCCCGGAGAAAATGGCTGCTTTGGAGGATGGATTCGATGGCATCATATCCTGCTGTGGTCCGTCCCCTTCCCAAACCCTTCCCTCCACAGGCTTCACCCCCAAAATCTTTGGGTATTTCCCAACCCAGAGCTGGCAAGCCTAAGCCTGGGCCTCGTGGACCCTTTTTGCCACTGGGCTGGCCCAGGTCAGGGGAAGAGACCAACAGCCCACCAGGAGAAGTCCCAGTGGCTATAATGGCCAATCCTCTCCGGAATGCAAGCTAATAACATTCGTGTGGGAGCAGTTTTCAGTTTCTGTTGATGTGCGCCGTACCCTCCCACCTGTTTTCACTGCGGATGTTCCCAGTGCACTTGTTTGTTTTAAGCCACGATTATGCTGTTTCCCCTCTTTTTTTTAATGTGCTGTGCCATTTACATTAAGAAAAAAATCTGGACACACACAACCCAATCAGTTAAACAAGTATAAAGCCAACAGTCGTGATAGTCTGACCCACAATCCAACAGTCATAAGACTTATAAAGAATGCTGTTTATGTATTGCAATCTAAAGCACTACAACATGATACACAAATTAATTGAGATCAGCGTCCTATCTGAATGTTAATTGAGATCAGCGTCCTATCTGAATTTAATATTCTTAAGACTTGTTGTCTAACATTTATGAAACTGAGAGCTTTGGCACCACTATAATATCTCCTGAAGAAGATCCATTTTTTGAAACGTTGTTTTGTAATCCGGAGACGACGTTGATTACGTACCTTGGTTCAAGGATTTTCTATTGATTTGTGTATCATGTTGTAGTGCTTTAGATTGCAATACATAAATAGCATTCTTTATAAGTCTTATGACTGTTGGATTGTGGGTCAGACTATCACGACTGTTGG